ATGTGTATCCAAGGCAGTATTTGTATTCCTCATTACATGCTCAGCAGAGACACTGTAACTCTTGCGCTGGGCAAGGTGTGTGTAAAGCAGATCTGAAACTGCAAGGTTGTCAAGCAAAACTACTGCACTTAGAGACCAAAGACCAACTGGGTTAATGGTTGGGCTATCAGAGTTGGCACTCACACCTTGCCCTGACACCCAGAGCTTTTGTCCTTCCTTGTAGGTGGTGTCGAAGTTCAGCAACACAGGGTGTGACTGCCACCCTTTGTTCTTTCTTCTGCATTTCCGGTCCTGACTGCACACACCTGGCAGGCAGGTGGCAAATCCTCCACAGTGCATCTCCTCCTGCCACTGCCTGAGCTTTGCACAAACAAGCCCTGCTAGCTATAGACACTCTGCTGTGAAGCGCTTACCCCAGTGGCACCAGGCAATTAAAAATAGCCTGACCAGCTTGTATCCACAGCAGGTAAAGCTGTAAGAACAGACAACAGTTCTGCTTGGGTTAAGTTCTCCTGATTTTAGTTGTGTTACGCTACTTGTCTGTCCCAAGAACTGCCAGGAACTGTTGCCTCTGGAACTGCTCTAGAAAGGATTCCAGTTAACGTGTTCAGTTCTGCTGACCTTTGCTGCCACAAAGGTACTCTGGTCTGTAGAGGAGGGTCCACTCTGTAATGTCCCCTTGTTCTGGATTTCTTTTAGGCTCCAGAAAACGACAGCCTCCCTGTCGAGGTTATGGCAAAATACAACCAATATCTCATCCCTGTTCACTGCACTGCCAAGGTAAGTTGAAATATAATAGAGCAGAGTCATGAAGCTGCAGGGGATGACAAAGTCTTTGTCCAAGCGTAGTTACCCCTCTCTGCCTTTCCACAGACAAATGGGGTGGTTCTTGCTTGGGGTATCTCCCCCTCCAGAACAGAAGCTACTCGAAGTCCCACTGATGGATGAGTTTGTGCTGCCATCACAGTGGGGGGTAAAAGTAGGGCCAGATAGCTAAAGGTATCCTGAAAAGTAGCCATTTTGCTTTCAGGTGCTGTACTGGACCTGAAAAAGGGATTCCAGGGAAGAGATTTCATACTTGGCATTTGTAAAGCAGCTGAGAAAGAGCAAACTTTAGCCAAAGGTTGTGCATTGATGCGACAGGAAGCTGTGGCAGTTTCCAGTTGCATGTAGTGGCTGTGGTTTTAAATAAAGCAAGGCCCTTTTCCTGTCTGAGGTGTGCAGGAAGGTGCTTATTGTGTGTGCACTGATTAGATATCACTGACTTGTCCTCTCTACCACTGGGACATCCTCGTGCTGCCAAGGTGGGGGTCAGTGATGACCAAAGCAGAGGTCACAGTCCTCCTGGAAAACAAACGCCACTAGGGAAAAGGGCTGCCAAAGGAGGAGCGTGGGTGATTGTCATTGGTTGTGCTTCCTTTTCCCACCTCTAGCGAGATGAAGATGCAGACAAAATAGGCACGGTGGAGTACTACGGGATGGGCGGCTACCCCGGCTTTGGCCTGCAGTACTACCCCTACTACGGCAAACTGCTGCAGCCGCGGTACCTGCAGCCGCTCGTGGCCGTGCAGTTCACCAACCTGACCTACGACACGGAGGTGCGCGTGGAGTGCAGGGCCTATGGGCAGAACATCGTCTACAGCGACAAGGACCGCTTCCAGGGACGCTTTGATATTAAATTTGACATAAAAAGCAGCTGATTGTAAGCACAACTCTCTTCCTCCCCCCTCCTCCTCCTCCTCCTAGCCATTTAAAAAGGTTAAAAAAAAAAAAAGAACAAAAAAGAAAACCTACTAGTCTTGAACAAACTGTCATACGTATGGGACCTACACGTAATCTATATGCTTTACACTAGCTTTCTGCATTTACTAGGTTAGAATGTAAACAAAGTGTAGCAATAGCGACAAATATTTATTCTACTGTAAATGACAAAAGAAAACAAAATTGAGCCTTGGGACATGCCCATTTTTACTGTAAATTATGATTCCATAACTGACTTGTAGTAAGCAGTGTTTCTGGCCCCTAAGTATTGCTGCCTTGTGTATTTTATTTAGTGTACAGTACTATAGGTGCATACTCTGGTCATTTTTCAAGCCATGTATTGTATCTGTTTTCTACTTCTTGTGAGCAAAGATTTTTGCTGTCCAAGGTGTAAATACTCAATGGGACTAGAACTGGCATGATACTTCTCATTATTTTGTTCCTTTTCAAAGAAAGGCCCACCTGTGAGATGATATTTAACAGCACTCCATAAGGCTTCTGGCTTTTCTGTGGTGTTAGGGTATTTTATTTGGAGGGGTGGCAGGGGAAACTAACTTAAGTGAAGATAAAGAGAATAGATGATTGTGTACTGTGCTTTGTAGCGAATGCTGTCTCTCCACCTCTTCCCTCATCCTCCTGTATGCTGTGTGAGAGACTGAGTCAGGCTATCACTTTACTCAGTGATAGGCATAACTCTTTGCTTTGTATATTTTCTTTTCTTTCTCTTTTTTTTTTTTTTTCCTGCTGAAGGCATCGCACACTGTGGTGCTAATGTCTTTATTGAATGTTTTAGCCATTTTCATGGTGGAAGAATTTTATATTTATGCAGTTGTACAATTTTATTTTTTCTGCAAGAAAGTGTAATGTATGAAATAAACCAAAGTCACATGTTTGAAAATAAAACTTTATTTTAAACTTTATAAAAGCAATGCAGTACCCCATAGAATGGTGTTAAATGTTGTCTAAAGTGCAAAACTCTATGTTCTAACATGTAATAATAGCCAGGAGTACAGTGCTCTTGTTGATCTTGTATTTCAGTCAGGTTGAAACATTGGACAAATAAATGAATGAACACACTGTTCTGTGTGCATCTTTTGCAAGGGGTGAGGATGGAGGCTGTTAGTTGTCCAGAATCTTGAAGAAGTACTGCACCTATTTCAAGGAGAAAATAAACTTTTATCAGTCCCAGATGGTCTCAGTGTAAGGGAGTTGAAACATCTGAAACATTGAGCTGTTACACATTAGCGCTGGTGTCTGTTAGTTACTTGTTATCCCCTCTCCTGGCCACGGAACCCAAGGAGTCTATTCCCTATTACTGCAAGCTCTCCACAGCTAGCGGCACAGGCCATGTGTTCTAGCCCTAACCACAAGTAAAATGGTTGATCCTCAGTGCAGGTTAAGGCTTCCTGAGGCAGTGTGTGCTGTGCAGCCAGAAGGCAGGGTGCACACTGAGGTCACAAGAGAGTTTCATGGCAGCAACTTGCAGTGTGTTGCTGTTGGGCCAGTGGCCAGCACTGAGGACAGGCTGTGCCTGATGGGGCTGCTCAGATGTGACAAAACATGGCAGCTGGCTTCGTGCAGGAGTCAGGCTCGCTTTATGCTGCATGACGCAGATTACAGGAAGAATTTCTCTGTGTAATGTGGCAAAACGTGACTACCCTAGAGCAAGCGGCTTGATAAAGACTTCCTAATCTAAACTCACGATACCAGAAAAGCAAGATGCTAAGCTTTTTGCCATTTGCTAGAAGGAAAAGCCTGGTTTCAGTACAGACCATGCTGGTTTCTGCACTCCTTAAGATGTTTCATGTTGTTCCCAAGGAGCAGGTGCCAGCAGAAATTGCACCTTCAGCTGTTTCATTTGCTGCTCCATGTTTATAGCAAGGCAAGGACTTAACAAACAAGCTGTGATGAAAGCTCTACAATATTTCCTGATGGAAGCTCCATCTGCAACAAGAGCTTCAGGAAAGCTGAGCCATTTTGGTGGGCTCCTCCTGCCACCATTTTGGGTGAGGAGTGGGGGTGTTGCTGCATGGCTCAACATTTGGTAGGATCAACTGTCCCTATGAATCAATTCTTAGGTTCACAGCCTGAGACAGTTAATAAAACCCCACCAACACAACAACAAAAAAACCCCAAACCCATCAACCAACCAAAATAAACTACAAAACCCCCTAACTGCTTTATTTATATAAGACCCAAGTCACAGTTAGCTAATTTATCTCCTTTTAATTTTCTATGTAAGTGCAAAGTCCAAGCATGAACTACTAATAAAGATAGTGGCTTATTCCAGGGGTTGGGACGAACACTGTGGAAAACTTACAGTGCTTGTGTTGGCTTCAGTGAGCAAGTGTTGAAAAGGTCTTAGGAACTGCATATGAAATTAAGCAAAAACAAACCTTTACCCAACATCTCTGCCCCAATCACTTTCCTGTACCACATCAGTGAAAGCAGGATGGCTGCTCAGATCACTAATTAACCAGGCAGAAGGGCTGCACATGCCTGGCAGCCGCCCACTGAAAAGACCCACCTGTTCACAGGCTTCAGGACAACTCTGATACCAAAGGACCGTACCCCAACACCCCCCGCAAAAGACACACACTCCGATATATCCCCTTTTCCCATTAGAAATGCTGCAGTAATTTGTCAGACCTAGTAGAGATAAAGCAATGAAAGGCTGCAGGATTATTTAAAAAAATTCCAAACAACCAAAGTCCAAAAAAACCTCACTCTACCCCCTCACCCCACCCCTGTGACAAGCAGGTATAGTCTCTTGGCTGGCCAACCAACTCGCCCTGGCACCAGTACTTCTGGTACACAACAGTCTTGATACTAAAATGGCCTTTCACAAACTGGTACTGTCACAGTCTTGCTGGGCTAAGTGGCTGACCAACAGCCCTGGGAGCAGGGAGGCTGCAGGCAGGGGAGGGGGTCAAGATGTGACATCTCATCAACTCAATTTGAAATATGCTTTGCCATCAAGATTTTTCTTTTAATATGTGCTGTATTGTCTGTAAAACTCCAGTCTCCTCAGAAAGGCATCGCCTTCCTTACTGCCTAATAGGACATTATGTTATAAACTGCCAGTTTGAACATGTTGTTCTTTCTGCCAGATTGACTCAACATAGTAAAGAATAATTGCAGCCATTAAAGTGAATTTCATCTCCCTTCTTGTTATATGGGACACCTGCATTTCATAGTTAAGAGAGACACACAAAACCACTAGTAAGATAAAAAGCAGAGACAGAGAGAGAGAGAAAGACACACACACACACACACACACATATATATATTTAACAACATAAGCCTTTAAGGATGTGTCTGCACAAACACTTGCACTAACACACACCAGCTACCAGTTTCACAGCTCTGAGCACTGGCACTTCTGGGCTTCTGTTCCCAGCTTGGCCCAGGGCACCTGGCCAGCACAGGCTGGGCACGACCCTCAGCGTGTGTGGGGAGCTGTGCCAACAGGGAAGAAAAAGGCCAAGTGCAGTGGAATTTGCTCCTTTGTGGATAATAACTCTGTGTCCAGCCTCAGCCTGGGGTGCTGATACAACTGCTGCTACCACAGCCCATTTCCCTGCAATGGGGCAGGTTTAATAGAGCTGAGTCAATCCCCACCCCTGCCTGGGCTGCCTTGGCCACAGCTACATAGCCTCCCCTGGGGTCAGTCCTGATCCACAGCTGCAGCACACACTGACACACGTGAATGCTGTCCTTGCCCAACGTCTGCTCACCTGCCACTAGCAACAAAAAGGTGTAGTGCTATTTTAGTTCCTAAAGGCCCTGGATTTTGTGCGACCAATTTTCCCAGGCCAGGCTAAACAACTCGGCTTACTTACAACCTGTGCAAACGCTCTTCCTCCTCAATTAGCTTTTATTGAATTGTTGAAGATCCACACAGACTGTACTGGCAAGGCTCGGACATCAGAACAAGCACACTATGTATTGTATACTGTTTAAACTAGTGCCAGTATGTTCTCTTTATATATAATTATCTTTATGTGGGTCAGCTGCCACCCAGCTCCCAGTAAAACCAGTTAAGAGCTGGCATACCTGTGGTACACAGGAAGGATCCTTCTCTCCAAGAACCTCACCCTTGGGAGCATGGCAGTGCTGGACAAAAACCACCAGAACTTACCCCACTCACATGGCAACAAGTATGGTGTTATGCAGAAGAACCAATACCAAGGATTTCGGCATTACCAAGAGATTTGGGGTGTCCCAACTTATGAGGCCCCAGCTGGAGACAGATTGAAGAACCTCCATTTTAAAAGCACCAGGTCCTTTTCCAAGGGGATCTAGAACTTGAAGATACTTGCATCAAGCATCCAGATGGGGGTTAGGCATTCCAAAGTACTCTATTTTAGGAAATAGTTACTCTCTTTGCCAGGGTCTGAGCATAGTACAAACCATAAAAAGGGGAGCTGTGTCTGTACAAAACAACAAGCCTCACATTTGCCTAAGGGCAAGGTCAGCCTCTCTGAGCATAGCACACCTCTGGTCTTTTTACAGGACCCAAGGATGGCAAACCCACACCAGGAACAGATCTGAAAACAATCTGATGCATTTCACAGATGCCACCCAAATGCCCTTCACATTCAGGTTTGCTCACTCCTTCCCAGGGATGAGACAGGATTAAATTTAACATCAGTACTCCCCTTACAGATCCCAGGAACCATCTACCTGCTTTACAGCATTGCAGCTATGCCCTCTCTAGCTCCTGTTCAGGGGCAAATAGCAATAATGCTCAGGAAGTATCAACGGGTGAATAACCACGACCTTCTGGCTCTGACCCTATAAACTGCTTCACCGAGGAGTAGCTGAGAGCTGCTTCAGTTCTGTGAAGTGTGCTTGTCACACACACTCTATGCAAAACTCACGTAAACAAAGTTGGCTGCTCTCTCTGAGCACTTCCACTCAGTACCCCAAAGTTTCAGGAGTTAATACAGCAGGCAATAACAAAATCCAGTCTAATGCCCTGGCTGAGCACAAACAACTATCATCTGAATAAAAGCATGGGAAGGTTGGGCAAAATTAAAAAAAAAAAAAGAGGGAAGCAACAAGTGAGACAGTTTTCCAAGGGAGAGAAAAACATCTTAATATTAACGCAGGACGCAGCACAGACACAAAGTGTCCTGAAGATTTCAAGTATAAGAATTACAGGCACCTACAATTTAATTCTCCTTCTGCCCAGAAAACAAAGCAAACAGCAGTGCTGATGAGAGGTGCCTGCTGAGCAGCTTTGGAGTCAGGTGCTTTCATATACAGAAGAACAGACCAAGGCACACCTTGAACTGTACCAGTACTTCATACAGGCAGCATTACAGCTTTCCTCAAAGAAAACCTCAGCACTGAAAGGATACCTCAACATTCACAGTCTATTCCCCTTGTTCCCGTGTCCTGGCTGTTTTTGGTAAGAGGCCCTGTTAGTATCATTCATGGCAAAAGAAAGGGGGCTGACAGGTAGACATACTAGCAAGAAAAATGCTGAGTTCACAGATTCATTTCTCATCCATCACCAGAAAGATGATGGCAGTTTCAGTCCTTCCTCATCTCTGCCAAACCAAAACTGGCAGCTGGGAAAGTCTTTTTCATCCCTGTTTGCATGTAGAGCATGTCAGTAATCTCGGTGCTTTCCATGCAGCTGGACAGATGCTCACCAGTACCCTGTCCCCAAAACCACCACAAAACTGTATCTCCTTGACTGCATCCAAGCACATGATCCAGAGAGTCTTTGCTGACTTGAAATTTCAGCATCAGTACACGCTCCCCAAACACTTAGGTCTGATAATTTTTTACATGTTATCTCAGTTTGAGGTCACAAGTAGAAAAAAAAAAATCTCTTTTTTGCCCATTAATCTTGATTTGTACATCAGCATGAACTTGCCAACGCCGTTAGCAAGCACACTTGCTAACACCCACAGTGCACTCCAGTTACAGTTCACTCAGCTGATTCACATGACTAAATCATTAGATTAAAGACCAAAAGCCCCGTGGAGTCATACCATCCTTTGAGCCACAAGCAGTCCAGAAATAAAAATGGTTGTCGAAAAAGAGAGCCTTCTTACTCACTGTAGTATGTGTTTGGAAAATAAAGAATTATTTTCCCACATAAACCTGAAGAGGGTTTAGTCCCAGGAAGTTTGTTC